GCCATACCCGAGACATCTGGACAGAAGCTGCGCCGGCAAGGGGCCCTCATTAGACTCTGACTTGTCTTCAGAAAGCTCCTTTAGCTCCTGTATCGACATGGGCTTTGCGCAGGAGCTGGAGAGATCATATTTGGCTCCTGTAGCCTTAGTTTCAATCCACTAGAATAGTTACGAATCGCAATCTATGGTTAGTTTAATTATCTCCTTCCCGTCTATGGCGGGGCAGATTGTTAGCTCACATACTCGATCAACGGCGAGGCAATCAATTTCGGCCATGCTGCTGGTGGTGGTCTAGCAGTTGAAGAAGTGGTTTTGTCTGGTTTTGTTGTCGCAGAGGGGCCAAATATATTATTCAATTAGCTAGTTAGCCAGTTAGCCAATTTATCTGACTGCCTAGGTTAACTTAAATGCGATCCCCGCTCCTATCTCTTCCGTGAGCCACCGACTCATCTTTGCAGGGCGTACTATACCATAGAAAGTTCTACAAGCCTCTGTATTATGGAGCGGTTGATATGGAACTATGGGACTTATTTGGGGATGTGTTGTTGGGAGTTAAGATAGATAGCTACACCTAAATCTCCTAGACGAGGGATACAGCTAAGGGGATATAATTCTAATAAACACCAAAAAGGCCGTCGTGCATCTATCATATAAAGGCATGGCGACTGGCGAGAAAGGACCAGACAACTACTAATAAACAAACAATCGGAGAGTGCTGACAGTACAAGACGACGGTGTCGTCGGGGTGGATGTTATATACAACGATGTCCAGTGAGGAGGGAGGAATGGGAAGCGGAAGAGGAATGAAATGCCGAATAAACGAAATGCGCTATGTGTAATAATGCGATCTTGGGGTTATGCCTTCTCATCTCTTCTCGACGAGCAAGAAATGCATAGCTGCGTAGGCCATGATGATGGAAACACCAGAGATAACGCCCAGACCGGCTACGTCATTCCACAAGGCGAGATTGTTGAAACCAAACGCACTCAGAATAGATGCACCCGGAACTTCGATGTCGAGGCCATATTTATGATCAATCAACGTCAAGAAAGTGACTTCGTTGACAATCAGGGCCTCGAATGCATAATGGAAGATAGACAACTATATTATGAAACGTTAGAAAAATGGAACTCCGTAAGGACTAAAGGGCTAAAGACTTACGGTTTGTAGCCAGAGTGCCGAAGCTGGAATTGCATCGTGGTTGAGCAGTAAACCGGCAAACAGGAGACTGAACAGCATCACCAAACTACCAATCAAGTTTGCAACGCCTGGGTCTCGGAAGACGATGCCAATAAGCAAGCAAATACCTGCCGCTGCCAGGTTGAAGAGGACGAGGACGAGGATGAATTTCGAAAATTCCGGCCAGTCTGGGATAAGTCCTACCATGGGGTAAACTATGACACCCATTATGATAGGGGGGATCAGTCGCAAGGGTACAATATCGAACAGGACCTTGGCCGTGAAGTAGGTGACTGGAGAGTAATACCCATTGGCACGTTCCCGGACAAAAAGGAGCCGTTCAGAGGAGAAGACGGTCAAACTTGTCAGTGTGCTGAAACCAAACAGGGCAAGGAGGAAGAAAAACAGGCCAAGGCGGTTCTGGAATCCCTTAATGTCATCTGTGAGACCGTAGAAGAGATATCCAGACAAAACGGCAAGCAGGATTGCGGTTGCGTAATGAGTGAGCATAAGCATGGGGTTTCGATAGAGATTCTTCCAGGTGCGGCTGGACAAAATAATAAATTGTCTTATTAATCCAACTCTGGCGTAGCCAGTCATTTGGCCGGTCACGGCATCGCTAGATTGTTGTGTATTGGCCTGTCCATTTGCAGCAAGGGCGTCTTGAACGGAAGAAGATATTTCGTCACGAACAGCATTGGCCACATTTGAGTTGGCATAGTAGGAAACAAGCACATCGAGATCAGTGACGAATCCAGATGCAATTGGAGGAAGGTGGTCCGGGTCTTGGAGAATTTGCGGCGGGACTTGACCCTGTTGTCTAGAAAGCGGTAGCCATTGCTGAGCACGCTCAGCTAAGCTCATAACATGACCGTCTTCATTGTCTGTCTGAGGATCGGGTGGCGATTCAAGTCCAGAACCTCTCTTGCGAGTGTATAACTGTCTGTCTTGACGTTGCTTGAGAGATGATCGCCGTTTGTCCTTGGGTCTCAGTAATGATTCCTGGGCACTGTCCACTGCACTAGCATTATCAATGCTGGCGTTTGAAGCACTGGCAACTGATTTGACGGCCCTCAGGCTGCTGGAAGCAGTTCGGAAGTTGTTGTCATGAGAATCAACATTAACAGCCGGCTCCTCAGTGGATCGGGACTGGCTCGCATGCATTGTCAAATCAACAAGGTAATCTGCAATGTTAAATCCAGGTGGACAGGAGTATCCGATGTTGTCAAAATAGGACTGGCAGCTCGAATATGGTCCCGAAAAGACTGTCTTTCCCTTTCCAAGCAGGATCAACTGGTCAAATAGGGCTACGATGTTAGATCTAGGCTGATGGATCGTGAAAATCACAGTACGGTTGTACGATTTGGCGAGATTGACAAGACATTCTATCACGTTGAAAGCGTTAAAAGCATCCTAGTTCTAAGTTAGTTGGGAGTATTCAAAACTAGAAATCTCAGGTTGAGCAATGGAAGAGAAACGACATGACACTTACCAAACCGCTTGTTGGCTCATCGAGGAACAAAATGCTCGGGCTTGTAACAAGTTCACATGCAATGCTAATACGCTTCTTCTCACCACCGGAGATACCACGGCCTTTGCCTTCCTCAGACCCTATAAGCTGATCCTTGATATGGTGAATACCCAGCTGTTTTTCAACTTCGTATACCCGCTGTTGTTTAGCTGCATCGCTCATATCCCGAGGCAAGCGGAGCAGAGCACTGTTCAATATGGTTTCGTGGACTGTCAGTGTTGGTAACATGGTATCCTCTTGGTCAACGAAACCAACGACTTTTTTGTACTCGCTGTCGTTGAACTTTTCGCCATTAACATAGATATCGCCGTGAACGACACCCCGTTTATTCTTCCTGGCAAGGATATCCAAGAACGTAGTCTTTCCTGCACCAGAGGCTCCCATAATTGCAGTGACCTGGCCAGGTTTAGCAATACCGCGAATACCACTAAGAATCTGCTGGCCGTTGATATAATAGGAAATATTTTCGAACTGCAGTGATGCTGGCTTGTGATCGGCCATGAGCTTCGAGCCTTCGTCATCGGAGTCATCAGCAAGAGCATGATACTGGTTGTAAGCCTTCCGTCTTGATAGGTACCAGATGAGGAGGATGACTCCAACAATGAAAAGTGAACAACCAGCAATGACTCCAGCGATGAGCGGAGTGTTTATGACCTTGACGGGAGGTTTGTATCCGGGTACTGCCGTTTTATATAGACATTCGCTGGAATAACAGTCCAAAAGAATAGACTTGTCGCCAAACAGATCAGATATCACCTTATCGATGACGGGCTCTGAGAATGCGCTTCCATCCTTGTTGCTGCCGCCTTTGGTAGAGGTCGAAGTGAACTTGGCTGGGCCAGTAAGCTGTCCAAAAAGCGGTTCTAAGCTAACACCGGTGGTCTCGCATAGCATTCGGTCAGGAACGCAGCCGCACTTGATGTTATCGCACTGATAAGTGGTGAGATTCTGGTTCTCCGTTATATCCATGTTCCACTTGCATGTATCCAGCGAACAGTAGAAGGACTCGAGTTGATCGACCCAGACTAGACAAACTACCCGTTAGCTGCGAGCGCAAGTAATCAACGTAGGAATATAGAAGACAACAGGGCCAACACTTACACTGAAAGTTGCAAGTCTTGTCTTCTTTCTTGCATGAGAACGTAACCTGCGGCTTCTTCTCCTTGAGCATGTCGCGGATCTTTCTGTTGGTGACTTCACACATCTGATAGTTTTCGGCAACAGTCTCTCCTCCATTATGATGTCTGTAACATACTCCTCCTTCTTTCTCCGGCATCATAGCGTTGCAGGCATCGTTGGTCTCGCACATGTTGCAGTTGATCCCAGACCAGCCATCTTTGCACTGGCAGGTCGACCCTTTGCGAGGAGTTCGGTCCCGTCCATCGGGCAGGGAGCCGCACAAGGGCTCAGCGCAGTCATCGCCGCCGAATCCCGGTGGACAGTCGCATTTCCCGTTGAACTTGTTGCATTTGCCGAATTGGTGGCACTTGAAGGCAGGGAGCTGGCAGTTGAAGCACGGCGGGCACTCAGGCGGCCTAGTGCTGCGGAGAGTGAAGGGGGTCGCTGCAGTAACGAAGGAATCCGTGGTGCTATTGATTTCGTAGCCGTTGGCCTGCCATGTCGGCTGTATAGCAGGGAGCAGAGCAAGCAGGCCAAGCAGCGCCAGCCATGCCATCGTTGCCGGTTGGGCGGAGAAGATGAAACGAGCAGCAGTCAAAGGCTCACGGGGGGATCAGGTCGACTTTATGATGGCATCAAGACAGCGTATAGACCAGAGGCTAGTTTTAGAAGCTGTTGGGAGTAGCGAGAGTGCTGGCTCAAGGGACGGGAGCTTCTCTGCCTAGCTCCGGCGGTTGGGCGGTTTTGGGAGGAGCGGCAATCTGGACGACGCAGGACGGGCGCACAACGGGAGAAAACACCGAGATATTGAATGCCGCTGGAGCTCGTCTCTATGCTAAGTATACCAGGCAGGCCTAACGAAACGGGCGACGGATGCAGGGAGCTGCGCTGGTGGATGGGCAGGCAGAAGAGATCGTGGAGAGGATGCGGAGAGTGTTGAGGTCAAGTTAGTTAGTTTAACTAAGAAGCTCGGCGAGGCGCATCGCGGTGACGTTGTTCCGACGCCAGCCAAGATCTAGGAGGGAGGAGGGAGGAGGGAGGAGGCAGTTAAAGGAGAACAAGGGAAGCGATGGAGACGCCCGGTAGACGGCTGTCATTATATTTAAAGAGAATACTCTATAGCAGTGTGAATATATATATGCACATGTATGTACATGTAGTTGAAAGGGGCTACTCTAGTTGTACAGAAGGCAGTCGGATAAGCCAAACCGACAGCAGGACAAATATATGGATCACCCCAGAGCCGAAGAAGGGCAATCCGGCCCATGCAGACGACCCGAGATTCAGCCCCAGATTGAAGAGACCTGCCAGGAGCGGCCCACCGATGAGGGTTCCCATCATGATGATGAGTGAGATGACAGAGTATAGCCTTGCCGAGTACTTTGGGTCGACGAAGGCGGAGATCAAGCTGAGGCAGACTGCATTGAATCCGCAACCTAGGGTGTAGATTGCTACTGCACAGATCATCGAAACGAAGGTTGGCGAGAAGCCGATGGCGAAGCTTCCAATCGTGAGAAGCACGATACTTATCTTTGAAAGCCACAGATCCTTTTCGTTGCTGGGCAACTTGAGGGTTTTGGATAGGTAGCCTGAAGTAAGCGGGAGGACGAGCAAGAGGAGAACGATACTGACGCAGGCCATGAAGGAATGAACAAAACCGGCCTTGGACAGTGTGATCTCATATCGAGTAGAGGCGTAGAGTAATAGAAGATCGACTTGCTTTCGTCCCAGCGTTGAGAGAAGGAAAGTAGAGAGTATGAGAAGCACGGTACGGTTGCTAAAAATGAGTTTGGTTTCTTTCCAGGCGGTTGCAAAAAGTGCTTTCATCTTCGATGCGAGAGAAGACCGAGAAACGGGGCGACGAGCCTCCAGTGACTCCCGAACAGAACCATGATCAAATCCAGATGGTGCTGAACGAGCCGCACCAGGCTTCAAAACTTGAATAGGAATAGTTTCAGGTACCAGTAAAATCAAAAGACAGCAGACAGTAAAGAATGCCGTGCCGAAGAAATAAGGTGTCCATGGGCCTAGCTTCATCATCATGGCAGACCCTATAGCAGGTGCAAGGAGTTGAGCCACCACTGCAGCTAAAGAGGTCTGGAAATAGACGGTTGACCTAAGTTTATCTGTTAGTAACAGATCCATCAAACTCACATTTCCTAGCAACAGTTTCGACTGACCGATTTGCTTCATCAATGACATCAGATATCATTGTCATGACCATTGCATTCGTTACACCAGGCCCTCCACCGATCAGGGCGAAGAAACCCCCGATCCATATTGCTTGAAGGGGTACATATCGGTAGAACGAGCACACGAACAAAGCCCAGTATGCGCCTAATAGGATACCAGCCATACTCAGCCGCAAGACAAACCTGCGACCATACCTAGGGTTGTCGGCCAATAGGCCATAGGGAAGAAGTAGAATTATGCCTGTATGAAAGCTACAAATCAGCTGTTGTTCTGAAGTAAGTGAAAATTGGAGCAGCCTTCGTACTTGGAAGCGCATCAAAGCTAGCGCCTATAGCTTGTATATAAGCCACCTGACTCTGTACGGCGTTTGTCTTGCATTCCGACTCTGGTATGTCCTGGGGATATGGGAACCGGTCTGGATGGTGTTTATCAAAATAATTCCGACAGACAATCAGTTCAAAGATGCGAGTCTGCGGTATGAGATCGAAGAATGCCGCAAAATCAAGCACAAACAGCACGGCAATGCATATGACGATGAATTTAGTCTGGTTTATCTTCCTTCTCACGGTGACGGGTTCCCCGGAATTCGACATGGACTCGACGACCTCCTCCTCGTCCGTCTGCAGAAGAGGGTCATCCTGCTCGGTATTCATGAGATCTAGCTCAGCATCGTCCATCATGAGCCGTCCAGAGTATCGAGTCCTCGGGCGGGGCCAGCTATTCGTATAAATAGGCGATATCGTCCAGAAAGAACGTAGTTACGCCCTTTTGAGTCCGCCCTTTGGGCAGGCAACGAAAATCGGGATCGAGACGAGCCGCCGGCCGCAGAACCACAGGTCGTACGGTGAGCCCGCAGGCTGGTTCAGGCCACGAGAAAAGAGTCCTGTGGTCTCGCCCACGCTCTCACGAAAGCAGCTCGCTGAGATATAAATACTCTGTGAGCACTCCGTAATATATATAAATAACTATGTAGCCTGCCTGGCCTGGCCTCGCGTAGCTACGACAAGCCTTAGCCCAACCTGGTAGATCGACGTATTCCTCAGCTCCCCAGCCTGGCGTATCAGGCTCAGCCAAAGAGGCCATGACGATCGCCCTGGTGGCGCCGTAAACGACAGCATCTCGTCGCCGCTGCGCTGGCTGAAGTTGGTCGCCTGTCGAGTGGCTGAGCCGCTGCTGTTTCGTGTGGGCGTCTCACCCACGGCTCGAGGCTCTGTCGAGACAAACAACCATCCCAGTTGATCCTTGCTAGTTAGCGAGCATCGAGCTTCTTCTCGCAGCCGTCCTCGAGCTCTCTCGCCGCTGTCTCTCCGTCACCATCGTCGCTGTCGCTGTCGCTGTTGCTTGCAGGCTGAAGTCTGGGAGAAAAGAAAGGAAAGAAAAAAAAAAAAAAAAAAATCTTCCTTGCGGGCGGCCAAAGCCTGAACGAAGCCCAATCGGGTAATTCCCACAACTTCAAGATCCTCCAACACAACAAACATCGACACTTCGCTCTTCTTCCTCTTCCTCTGCGCAACAACGAACCCGACGCCCACCAGCTCTGCATTCTCCATCTTCGCTTCTCGCCTGGCAGATAGGCACGACAGACAGCCGACCAACCTTCCGCGCTTCTCGCCTGGCCGACCGCACGACCGACCAGATCCCTCCCTCCTCCTTTTCCGCCCACCGTCCGTAGCTGTAAGTCCCCTCGGCAGCGCTCACCCCCGTTCACACTCGGGCTCCCCCAAGCCCACACGGTTGCCAGTGCAGCTCTCCAGAGGCATCTTCCAGCTAGACTAACAGGCGGTCACTCTACTAGACAATAATAAGCTTGCTCTCTAGCTCTCCTCCATCATGTCGGGAGAAGCATGGCTATACCTTCTGGCGGTCCTGATCAATGCGGTCAACCTCTTTCTACAGGTCTTCTTCACAATCATGTACAGTGATCTAGAATGGTGAGAACCCCTTCAGCCTCTTTGTATTAGAAACAATCTTGCATGGCCTCCGTTGCAAAGGACCTGCTACTACAGCTGCTTTGTTTGGGGACATGCGCTGACCGTCTCCTGCTCTACCTTTACTATAGTGACTATATCAACCCGATTGACCTCTGCAACCGCTTAAACTCCTATATTGTCCCCGAAGCTGCTGTCCATGCCTTTATAACCTTCCTGTTTGTTATTAATGGCTACTGGCTTACAATCGCGCTTAACCTGCCCCTTCTCGCATATAATGCAAAGAAGTATGTACTCCCCCGCACCCGGCCAGATGTTCACACCACATGGCAACCACCCTCTTATATATTCACCTTTCGGCCACTCGCGGACCTCCAGACTAACAAGATCTCCTTCTTAACCCAAGAATATTCGAAAACCAACATCTCCTCGATGCCACAGAAGTTTTCCGGAAGCTGAACGTCCACAAGAAGGTACTTCCTCAAAGCTCTGTTTATCATACCCAGGTTGGAAACATCTATTCTGATCATGTGTCCTCCTTTTTCACTACGTATAGGAGTCCTTTATCAAGCTCGGTTTCCACCTCGTCATGTTCTTTTTCTACCTCTACAGCATGATCGTTGCTCTGATCCGAGACGAAACCCATTGACTACGTGATAAGACGGCTCACGCCATGCAAAACGGTCGACCGCTGCATTAAAAAAGCTACTACGATACTACTTCAAGTACTCAGCAACACATACGCATATTGCCAGGGATAGCAATGATGGAGTCATGACAAAAGGTGGTTTTATTGGCTGGCTCACTCTTTCTTTCTTTTTTTGTTCTCATATACATCCCTCAAAATAAAAATGGGATGCGAAGTGCCTATGTATGCCTCCTCTCTTTTTGTCTCTTCTATTATGATAATGGCCCCTTCCGCAAAGTCCTGATACGGATAGACTTGGTGGAGATGAGAAATGCGAGAACGATTCTCGATCCTCTGATAATTTGTTCACCCTTCCCCACATTCTATTCCATCTCATCTCATCTGGGACCTCGAATGTTGCCGATCCCCTTCGTTAACTGTCTTTTGCATCACTCAAATCTTTCACTCCCATGTAAAGCTTTCTCTAACCGGAACCGTGGATCGAACAGTTTGCGTTGTGAAAAAAAGAAAGAAAAAAAGGCAATGGCTCCCCTTCGATTATGTGAGAGCGAAGAATCTCAGCACTACTCGACCTCCGTCCAACCTGGCTGTATGGCAGATACGTTAGAATTATGGATAATAAATGCTCTTTATGACATGTAGAATTGAACGTTTGTATAATTTAGTTCATCTGTCTGGTTGATGAAGTGTAAATGCCACCTGGAATACCCTTCTAATTCAAAAAGAGAAACGAAAAGAAAAACGCTTTAAAAGTAACAAGAAAAAGAAGTCCCCAGCATGTAATAGCAATTTCTGGTCTCGCCGTATTCTCTCTTGTCTTGTAATTTGTATTATCGAACTTTTGCAAAACGGAAAAATTATCAGATGGAAACCGGTGGTGCAAAAGAATAGGAGAAAGAAAGAGGTGTTACTATTGAACAGGAAGAAGGGGATCAAATTGAGAAAGACTATGAAGGGGAACAGGGAGGGCGAAGTTGAAGGAACAGAAGGGGGTTAAAAATATTTTAACAAGAAGCTAAACAATGACCAACCGGTGACAGAAACAAATTGTACCATAATAGCAAAAACAGGAACTAGAAGCAGCAACAACAGGGTCCCATAAAGACTGTATGTATCGTAACACCTTTCCTTTCTTTTTGTATCCTTTTTTTTTTCTTATTTTTTTTTCATGAGTATGTCCCCCTCTTAAACTTGGTTGTCGTAAACTTTCGTTGTGCTGGCAGCTTAATGCAAGAATGTATGTAAAGAAACGAAGGTATTCGATTGTAAGCAGGGAAAAAGAGCAGGTTGAACCATGTTCAAATGGTTCCTGAAGTATACGGGACCCAGGAAGGTGTATGTGTGAGTGGGTGGGCCGTTATTCGTAGCCTTCAAGCCTCTAGATGGTATTTCCAAGGAAAGGGCTGCTGAATCTCGGAGAAAGTAACAGCAGATATTCACAATCTCCGACAACGCCGTTGCAAATTATCAATTCTAAAAAACGATGTTCCGTTGGGTATGCCATAGTGCGAGACGGGCGGAGTCTGGTATCATGTTTTCGCAGTAACGGGGTTAACGAGCGAAAGGTCGATGCGGAATGGATCGTTGGAATGTATCCATGGGCAGAGCTAAGTTGATGCCGATGCCGGAAGTAAATATATCATTAAGAATTAAGTGATAGGCCATTGAATTGGTTTGTCCAATCATTCTGGCCATTGTGGCCGTTCTGGGGTCTATTGGTGGCCCCGTTACCGTTAGTTCGGCTAAAGTCAGGGGCATTAGGGTCCATCATAGTGTAGTGTGGTTGTTGGTATGAAGAAAATGGGTCGGTCTGAGGTTGAATTCCAGCTCCAAATCCAGCGTCAGGCTGTCTAGCAATTCCAAATGTATGGTATGGGTCGAGATAAGGGGGACGCATCCCTGGTTGCATAGGTTGCATATGGTCTCGGGTAGGGTCAGTATATGGAGAAGAAATTCCTTGGTTAAGGCCGCCGTATTGCCCAAATTCATGTTGTCGACGTCGATCAGTGTGGGAATCCTGCCCATATCCCATCATCCCAGAGCCTGGTGGAGGTGGTAGTCCAGTGGATGGAGTCACAAAGGAGGCAGGATTGATAGCAGACATCCAGATACGCGTCTTGTAAATTTTGAATAGGTCCGTAACCAAAGAATTAAAATTGATATAGGAATCGGCAAAATAGTAAAATGTAAGCTTCTTCCAGTCCCTGCAGTTGTGTCAATCAGCATATATTTATCGAGATAAGACATAGGGAAGTAACTCACATTTGGAACTCAGCATCAAGAATTTCCATATTGAGACGATGCTCAGCAACCTTCTGCTGGCACACGCGTTTGGCCTTGGCCTCGTTTCCTTCTTTATCACGAAGGGTCTGGATCTCATGGCTTTGAGCCAGTCTCTTGATCAGCTTGGGTTTTATCTCGGCAGCTTGAGGTTCTTGAGATGTGTGTTGGGACTGAGGGCCCATGCCACCGACGGCACTGCCTGGTGCACCGCCCAGAGATGGAGGAGCTCCAGGATTGATATGCCCAGTGCCGTTGCCTTGATTCTGACGCGAGAACAGCATCAACCATTTGTAATGCTCCTCGGCATAGTGATCCTTCAGTTCTTTGGCTCTTGCCCAGCTGATATTTGCATGGGCAACAGTACCCAAATCAGTTCCGCGATCAGCTTCGACAATCACGAGGTCTCCAGTCTTTACTTCTAAACCAGTGCCCTCTTGGATATAGAAGACATCTGCACGGTAGCACTTGAAAGTAACAATGAATAACTGCTGGTTTTGATGAGGCTGGCCAAGGGCAGCATGCTGGCGTCCGAAAGCATTTGGCATGACATAAGCTTGGTGAAGAGAGGTTGGAATTCCAGAAGTTGGGATAGTGTCTTGTCCTGATATATATGGAGCTATTATCAAACGCCTATTAGCACCCCATAACCGTATTTTTATGTGATCTGATAGAGGCAGTGCACTTACCAATTTCGGCAGATGAGGTATTTAGACCATTTTCAGGGAAACTCCCTTCATCGCGGGTTAAAAGGGAGGATGTCGAACCAGCCGATGCTCGAGTCTCGCTTGACGAAGGGAAGGAAGACGATGGATGTCGGGTCAAAGTATCGGCGAAAGAATGGCGGCGACTCTGAGGTACATCAGCAATACTGCCAAAACCAAGTGAGCTCTGCCACTGAGCTCGTTTGATGTTTTCCAAGGTGCGGTTCTCCAATGACGCAAAGGTAGGAAATTGCTTTTCCAAGTTTGTTGAATGCTCGCTGAAACGTCTGCGGGCATTATTGCGGGAGCTGTAGCCTGCAAAGCCACCCACATCTTCCAAATCTTCTACGGCTAGATCGGATTCTTCTGGAACACTGCCTTGAATTGGGTGAAGCTTGTGGGTTTGAGCCATGGAATAGCCGTTGTTGGTAGATGTCGATGAGAGGGTACGATCGCGGAATCTGTTGGTGCTCTCAGCTTGGCCTGACGCAGCCTGACGCAACATTGCGTTCTCCAAAGTGAGCTGTTCGATGGTGCGTGCTTGGTTAGATGCCCAGTTATTGTTGCTGGGTTCTATGCCACTAGGGCTAATGTCGTCATCGTCTTCCCGAACGCGTCCTAGGGTAGCAGGGTCATGTCCTAATTCCAACAAGCTGGGTCGAGAGGAACGACGTTGGACTGAGGAGTACTGTGCAGCAGGTCTATTGCGACTGATGGGTGGGGTGGGCTTGTTTGAAGTTGTGAGGGAAGGGGGAATGCCACTGGATTCTGGGTCCAACTGTCCAACTGAGTATGACTGAGAGCGGTATGTCTTAGGCGTTGGGTGAAGTGGAATGGCAAATGGAATCGGTGTCTCCCCAGACGACTGATATGCTGTAGTCCCGCTTTGATCTTCTCCTGAAGTACTGATCAGATTTGGGGGGTTAGAGCTCGTTGGGGACTGGAGAACCTCAGCCATGCGAGATGGTGGTTCCTTTCGATTTTCGGTGTTCCAGATCCCTGTACCCCATGGGAAAGATCCGTTGCCAGATGTATTTCCCCAGTTCACTGATGTGGTGACCCCGGGACTCGTGGCGGTACCCCACGACGATTGATCCCCTGCAGGTGTGGTGGGATTGGAACTGACGGGCGAAAATGTGCTGGTGACGGGGAGTGAGGCCTTTCTCATTAAGGTGCTGGGCACTTCGTTGAGCCAGGATGTACGGCGACGTTGGTTTGCCAAAGGTGTTGGCTGGTGTTGAGCGGGATGATGATTATCGCCCTCATCCTCAGATGAAGCAAGGGCATCCGAATCGGGTGTCGAGCGGCGAATACCTGGTCGACATTTCTCTAACAATATGGATGCACTGTTTCCTGGTGTGTTTGCAAAAGCAGCGCTGGCGGATCGTACTGGCTGGCCATTTTTAGTTGAGCCAGCCATATTTATTAATGTGTCTGTAAATGGTAATAGGAGGAGGATAGCGGAATTTTGACGGGGTTTCTTGGAGAGTTCTTAAGAATGACGCTTCAGGACAATGTGATGTGACCGAAGCTATTTCAGATCGTCGAATTGTTTTTGAAATGTAGGTAAAATGACGTTTATCCAAGGTCTAGGTAAGAAACCCCTGGATTTAAAGCAGGAGGTGCTCGCATGTGTTGGTGACGGACGGGTCTTCAACTGCTATTAGAAGGTAGATTAGAACATATTCAACAGGCAACTTTGAAATATTCAAGATCGATCTTTGATAACGCCACAGTATGACGTCTTTGATGTCAATAATACGTTCTCTCGATCTGTAAATCGTCGCGATAGGTTCGCGACAAGGGAGTTGAAAAAATTCGCGTGG